TATCTGAACCTATGATCTATGATATTGGGGAATGTAGGTCAAAGTCGGTCATTGGCTCTGGATTCTGAGGCCAGTATAGGTTGCTAAATGTGCCATTTAGCACCAGAAAACTAAAAAAATAAGGTTGTGTCCACTGTCAAATAGGTTTTGCTCTTTAGTCCATTGTATATATTGAAAATATAAGAAAATGAAATTGTGGGTAGGGCTTCATTTTGGGAAAATTGGGCTATGGACTAATAATTGGGACTTTCTTCCCTTTGACTTTGCCCCACACTTACCCCCGTTGGCAGTAAGAGCAAATCTATCTGTAGATAGTGAACAGGAAGGAAAGCGATCATTGCGGAACTAAATTAGAGGATCACTTCCCTTTAGTTGTTATCTTATTTGGGAAGGCAGAGCAATCAATCTGTAGAGCAGGAAGATAGCCGCTATTGCCAATGATCTCACTGAAGGCGCTGGTCATTCTCCCCACCCTCTTCTGCCCCTTGAAGTTTCCTGTGATGGAATTGATGTTGCTGATCTGGCTCTCCTATTGCAAAGCTGACTGCATTATCAGGAGGAAAAAACTGAAGAACCAAACAAGACCTCTGGATAGCAGGCCCAGGCTGCTGTATGGTGTCTAGTTATCTGGTTAGCTTCCCTGTTGTATGTTATCCTGTGTTGTGTCCCAGAGAGAGTTCTGTGCTGTAGGTTGTATTGCAAGGTGTTGGAGGTGCTAAGGTACATTATACTCCTAACTGCTGTCTCATGGTCCGTGGCAATTGTGTCCTAGACATCACTTTTTTATCTTTTCCTTACCTTCTTGGGTATGTCTTTGCCAGAGGTCCTGGGACCCTTGCAGACAGTTACATGACCCTAATTCTTCAATATTCCAATGGTGCTATGATATTGTCAATGTGTTATTCCTTCCAGCTAAGCAGATTATAACCCATCCATTCCAGCCTGTATCATCCTCATGACCATTTCCTTCTTTACATTTATCTCAAGGGTTGAACCCAAAATGCTAGGGACCTCATCAGATTTTCTTTATATTGTCTAGATATCAATGGAGGCCATAGGCTGAGGGGAGGATGGACTGGAGTGAGAAGAGACACGTGGCAGGTTGACTAGTAAGCAGACTACTACATTTGTCCAGGTGTGAGATGATGAAGCCGATTCATTAGTGGTGAACTTTTATGTACTTTGATTTTGTTGTTGTTCAATTATTTAAGCTGTGTCTGACTCTTTGTGAGGATTTTCTTGGCAAAGATACTGGAGTAATTTGCCATTTCCTTCTCCAGCTCATTTGACAGATGAGGAAACTGAGGCAAACAGGGTTAAGTGACTTGCCCAGGGATATATAGCTAGTAAGTGTCTGAAGCCAGATTTGAACTCAGGAAGAGGGATCTTCCTAATTCCAGGCCCAGCACTCTATCCACTAGCTGCCCTGTTCTTAGATTAGTCCTTGGAAAGAAGACACAGTCCATTCCTGAGACTGTACCTACCCTAGCCCTCCCTAGTTAAGCCAGCCAGAGATTTTATCCCACTGGCATTATCTTCAGTTATTGATGGATCTATTGTCTGTTCAACAGGATCATTTTGGGAAAATGTTTCAAGAACCTTGAGTCATCACTGAGCCAGGTGATTGGAACTCCTCTCCTATGTAGGGCACAGAGTTCAGGTATGAGCAGTGTGGGAGTCAGGAGAGACCTCTTCTACTCCACCAAGGTACAGTCTCTTTTGAAGACTCCCTCTTTTCCTTTCTTTTCACTTCCCTTGGGGAAACACCTGGGTTGTCTCCAACCAGGGAGGAAAAAAGAAACTGACTTCTCTGATTCCTGGCCTGGACACACACACACCCCTTTTCAGGTAGAATGGGAGAACTGGGCAGCCAGTTCTTTTTGCCAGCGATTTTAGCTCCTCAGTAAACATGTTACACTGTAAGAGTCAGAGCGAAGTGTGGAGACAAGCCCTTCACAGGAGGGGGCAGCCAGAAAGTCTAGTGTATAATTTTTGATTAGTGCATTCCAGGCTTCGCAGTTTGAACAACCCTCAGTACCACACTTTCCTTTCTCTGTCCCCCCTCCCAATTTATTTAATAGCTGGCTATGGCCTATGAACAAATGAGCATCAGATTTTTGTAAAGAAAGGAAAATATTTTTATACATGAAGATTTAGGCAGCTAAATAGCCATGTTTGGTCTTCCAAATCTTATTTTCAGAAAACAACACACTCCTGTTTCTTCAGCTTAGTTAGGCAGTAACTACAGACCCTCTCAGGGGCTGGAAAAGCTGTACATCAAGGAGGCAGTGAAGCAAGGGTGATAACTGAGCAGTAAGAGGTTTATATCCTCATCGTCTTGCTAGTATGGTGCTAGGGGAGAGATTTATAGGCTGGAAGGCAGTTTTATTCCTGGCTTCCCTACTAACTCACTGTGTGACCTTGGGCATGTCACTTCCTTTCTCTGAGCCTCAATTTCCCCATTTGTAAAAGAAGGAGGATGGGCTAGATGATCTCTAGGCTCTATTTCAACCCTAAAATACTATGCCTACCATTATATAAGTCCCCAGTCAGCCTATGTGAGTCACCATCTCCTGAAAAGACCTTTTACATTCCCCATCCCCCTTTTTATTATTATGAACTTGGCAAACAACAACAACTGTGAACATTTCCCAATACTAAGAAGAAATGAAAAAAGAAGACATCATAAAAGTTATGAATCACTACTATTTATAGCTTGGTTTGGGGGCTATTTTTCAAATTTAACATAGTAGTTCCAACACTTCTATGTTTTTCTGGGCCCCTTCTGAAATACATTTTCCTCCCTTTTGTTTATTTTTCTATTGATTCATTAATGATTTTTTTCTTTCTTTTCTTCCTTTTTTAATATCTCTATCACTACCCTCTACTCTTCTCACCCCTGCCCCTCCCCAAATCCTCTTTTATAACAAGTAAGTATATTACAAGAAAGAAATACACATATTGGTCATATTTGAAAATGTCAGTCTCATTCTGCATCTCTAGCCCCTCACCTCTTTGTCAAGAAGTGGGAAGCATGATTCATCATCAGATTTCCAGAACTGTGAATAGTCATTGCGTTGATCATAGATTTTAAGCGTTTTGCAGTTTTCATTTACAATGTTGTAGTTATTGTATACATTGTTCTACTGGTTTTACAATGTTACAGTCATTGAATACATTATTCTCCTGGTTCTGATCATTTCATTCATCCTAGATTTCTCCAAATCTAGCCATTTTTGCTATTTCTTTTTTAAAAGTTTTAAAAATTTATTTATTTATATTTGGTTTTCAACATTCACTTCCATAAGATTTTGAGTTCCAAAATTTCTTCCCATCTCTCCATTTTGCTATTTCTTATAGCTCAATAATATTCCATTATATTCTTATGCCATAATTTATTTAGCAATTCTCCAACTGCTAGCTGAACAGACCTTTCTCCAAAAATATTTATACATTCTAGTTCTCCTATTTGCAATGCCTTCCCTCTTCTTCTCCAGCTAGCCAAATTCTCCCCATCCTTTAAGGTGCAGCTTAAGGCCCACCTCCTTTGTGTCCAGACAAACAAGCAGATGTTTAATGAGCTCCTGCTACATTCAAGGTTTTGTGTTGGGCAGTGACTGGAATATAATTGTAAGAGAATGACCTTGACGGTTGAGTGTATAAGAAATAAGTGAGAAAAACAGTTGCTCAGTTAAGTCTTGACAATCCACTAGTCTAGGGACATGGATTTGCCTCAGAGTTCTAAGAGAATCAGTTACTGAGTGGTCTAATTCAGAGTTCTGTTCTGGGATAGAAGGTGGTCTTTTATAAGCTGTAGAACAGAGGTGTCAAACTCAAATAGAGAGTGGGCCACTAAATTGTACATAAGCATCTCTGAGGGCTGCATGTTGACTTAGAAAATGACATATTAAGATAATCTATACTCTATTATATTTTTATTTATTTTGTAGAATATTTCCCAATTACATTTTAATTTGGGTTTGGCTGAACTGTGATCTCCATGCTTGACACATCTGCTATAGAACATTAGAGCAGATGGGGAACACAGTCTATGTTGGTGATTGTATATGGTAAGTTGAAGAACTAGAGAAATTTTAGGTTAACAACTGGAAAAATATAGGTGTGAGAACTATTCGGTGATGATGAGACAAATACAATGCACCTGACTATAGACAGAAGATGAGAACTTGGTTATTAACCATAAGCTAATGTGAGATCATTTATAGAGAAGCCCTAGGAGCTGAAGTGACAAAGGTTAGAGTCAATCTAGTCCACAAGCATTTTAGGCTCTTACTATGTGCTAGCTATGGGGCAGCTAGGTGGCACAGTAGATAGAATGCTGGGCCTGGAGTCAGAAGACTCATCTTTCTGTGTTCAAATCTGGCCTCACATACTTACTAGCTATGTGACCCTGGGCAAGTTACTTAACTTTGTTTGCCTCCATTTCCTTATCTGTAAAATGAGCTGGGGGAAAAAATGGCAAACCACCCTAGTATTTTTGCCAAGAAAACTCCAAATGGGGTCATGAAGAGTCAGACATGATGGAAAAAATGACTGAGCAACGTGTGCAAATATTGCCCTAAATTCTGGGCGCACAAAGAGAGGCAAAGAACAGTCTCTGCCTCAAGGAGCTCATTCTAATGGGGGAGAAAACAAGCAAACAACTATGCACAAATAAGATATATACAGGATGGACTGGAAGCAATCTCAGAGAGGAGGCATCAGTGTTAAGAGGGATTGAGAAAGACTTCTCATTGAAGGTGGTATTTTAGCTGATGCTTAAAGGAAGTCAGGGAATCCACAAAGTAGAGGTGAAGAGAGAAAGGGATGGAGGACAGTCAGTGAAAACACGTGAACTTGAGAAATGGTGTCTCTGTCTCCTCCCCCATACCTTTTACCTCTCTCCACACTCACTCCACCCCTGCTGCCTTGCCCCTCCCTCCCTTTCTCCTCCACCTCCATAGATTCGCTGTTTATGTAGATAGGCAGAGGGTTCTCTACTTCCACCTACTGCCGAGAAGACAATAAAGAGACCATGTCCTGCTTTCTATTAGACTTAGTCCTCTGGGAATAACTGTTAGCAAGAATATGCTCTGCTCACCATTATGATTTGCTGCTGGGAAGAAGAGGAAAGAAGAGAGAAGATGAAATATATTACTCTGCATTGCCACTTATTGTCTCCTAGAGCAGAAGGATCAGAAGAAACCTGCAAAGAAGTAGAGTTGAAAAGGCTTTTGACAACTTTAGGATAAAGGTCATTCCCTCTTCCTCAAGGAACATGATGCTTTAGATGAAGCCCTGTGAAGTGTAAAGCCAGAAGCTTGAAGAGATGTATACTACATTTGTTGTTTCAGGGTAAGTCCAGTTGAGCAGAACAATTTGGGAGCAGCCCAGTGGATCAATTATCCAATATCAATTATATCATGTTCGGTATAGTGTCAGTTAACCATAACATAGATTAGCTTAGCCTAGCAGTGTCTGTTCAACGCAGCAGCTATGTTCATTTTAGGGGTCCATCAAAAGTGCCCCATCATTCAGCAAGGAACTTTTATGGACAGTTCCAACAGAAGAGGACCCTATAAGTCTACAATCCCAGAATTCTGTGTTGCCCTGGCCACATTAGTTCTTTCTACATGTGTGTTTTTCATACCTTAGGACTTTAGGTGTGTGTTTATTCTCCCCACTGACACTGTGTGCATTGGGAAGAGAGTGTAATTGAGGTTTGTTGATAGAATGTCATCTGGATATTATGTATTTTCTTTGCATTTTCAGTAAGTATTTTTGTTGAGTGAATATTAGTAACTGATTTATAAATGGGAAATTCACTGGTGGGGGCTCCTGAGCTAGAATGTTGAGGGGAATAGTCACCTACAAGGCTTACCTTTAGCACCCTAAAAGTATTGAGCAGTAGCTGCATGTCCATTCCGCTGCAAAACGGCCCTGACCATTGGAAGTGAGGGTAAGTAGGGTGAGTGAAGCAGCCATAACCCAGGGAGGGAGAACAGGAGCCTAGGTAGAAAGAAGTTTGATGCTATGTCATATGCTGTAAAAAGACTAATACTTAGTCTCTTTTCTTCTAGATGACAGATGGTAAAACTGAGACCACAATCAGTTATTTTTCTAAACCCTCTCTCTTCCTAGTATGGGCTTCAGTATCAAAGTGAATAGCAAGCTTCTTCATTACCTAGAATACTCCCATGTCATCTTTTCCTTTTCTCTTGATGGAACTTCTCTCACCCAATCTTTTGGGTCCATAATGTTGGAAACATCTTTTACATTTTCCTCTCTTTCACTCCCATTACACCCAATTGATTGCCTGGTATTGCTGATTCTAACTCTACTATCCTTTACATATGAAGCTTCAACTCCACTCCTTCTACAACACCTCTAACTCTTTTTTTCTAGGTTATTATAATAATTTCCTAATTGGTCCTTCTGCTTCCAGTCTCTTTGCCAATCCGTCTTTCACACCAGTACCTTAAGAATCTTCCTAAAACACTCTGATCATGTTACTCTAATTTAAGAAAAAAAAAATCTGCCATGGCTCCATGTTTCCTACCAAATTAAAAGTGTTAACTCCTGACTGACGTTAAAGATCCTCTACATTCTAGAGCCAACTTATCTGATCAGTCTTACCTCATATTAATTCTCTTTTGTGTTCCAGGCAAACTATACCGTTGTTCATCCCCTGTTTTTAATTCTGATCTTTCTTGTATTTGTTCACATTGTTCCCCATCTTTGGAATGGATTCCTCTCCCATCCACTTCACATTTATATATTTTGAAATTCCTCTCATATTTCAAGGCTCAGCTCAGCCCAGCTCAGTCTCATCTATGAAGTTATTTATGACTTCCCAAGTTAAAGTGATCTCTCTAACCTCAGATTTCTACTAGAATTTTTCCTGGATCCCTCCTTTGTATCAGAAAGATCTTAGCACTCTATCTTGTATCAGTTATTTTTACCCCTATTATGTTCTAAGTGCCCTGAAAGCAGAGTCAGTATCGTATCTACCTGTGTCTAGCACAGAGCCTTGTACATAATTGGTACTTAATACAGGTTGGGTGGTGATTGTTCAAGTGGTAATAGTCTGGTGAGGTGACAATTTAGAATTGAATGGCCTCAGGATTTAGAACCATAATGAACTCAGAGTTGTATTGTTTCTATTGGGGTTAGAATATGGGCACTATAGATTCTGCCAAGATGGCCATTCTGGGACGCTAGTTGACCACTTTGAGGCTTCATTTTCATTCAGCACTATAAGAATAAAGAATGATGGCTGCCCATAAGATCTGAACTTCTCTGTGCACGGCTCTGTAGCCTAGGATAGGTCTAACTTCAAAGAAGCCACCTCCAACTGTTCTTCCTTTCCTGACAATGTTAGTATTTATGGAGTGTCTGAACCTATGGCCACGTGGTTCTGTTGCTATGGTAGCAAGGAGAACATTCTTTCCTTCTTCCTTCCTCCATAAGCGTTTGCATGGGGACATATGTGGCTGTTTCCATGACAACAAGCTGCCTTATCTCTTAGTGGAGCAGGAGTCCATAAGAAAAAAAAGGGCTTGGATGAGTCTGAAGAGGGGGAAATAGAAAATAAAACTGGGCACTTGGAAAGCTGATGCTATGAGGCAAAGAAAAGTAATATGGTCGGTGCTGGGGCTAAAACACTAGTTTAGGCAGCTAGGATATTTCAAACAACAGAATTAGCAAATTCTGTCCTATTGCTGCTGCTGCTGCTGCTGCTGCTGCTGCTGCTACTACTACTACTACTACTACTACTACTACTACTACTACAACTACACACACACACACACACACACACAGTCTTTTGTCTTAATTGAAAGAACAAATAGAGACAAATGTTCTTAATCTTGTTTGTGCGATGCCCTTCTTTGGCTGTCTGGTGAAACTTACGGACCTCTTCTCAGAATAATTCTTTTAAATACCTAAAATAATAGGATTATGAAGGTGACTGATTAAGTTGAAATAGAGGGTTTTTTAAATATTAAGGAAGAAATCTCAGATCCTACGTTAAGAAGTCTAGATTTCAGAGCTAGGAAGATAAAATGAAATGTTGAAAACCCTCCAACAATTAAGGGCAAATTCCCATGGGTGTCTAATTCCACAACTGTTCAGTCAATAAACACACAAAGAAATTCAAATGTTTCCTCAGGGTGCATCTGAGAACAGCTCCTAAAGGGCTTTTTTTCCCCCTGAAAGCTTCTGATGTTTAGTCATAGTTAAAGATGTTTCTTAAAGGTCACAATTCCCTTGGCCATCGATCAGCTTCCTCCCACACACTGCCCTGTGATTCACAGCTCACACCTCCCCAGTCATTAGATTTGTTCTGTTTGTTTTTCTCCCTCTCCTTACCGTATTCCATAGGACACTGGCCAGTTGGATTCAGAGGCCCAGATGGGGACGTGCTTATTTAAAGCCACATGCTATCATTCATAATCTTAAAGGAAATAGGGAAACAAGAATAGATACAATCCAGAATTATGAAAGAATAGGCTTGTTTTAAAGGGTTGTTTGTTTTTGCTTTTTGTTTTTGCTGGGGGAGGGATAATTAGAAACTGAAGTACAGCTCTGCATTACCTACTAAAGTTAATTCATGAGATAGAATGATGAAACTGTTCTTGAAGTTCTGTCACAAGACCAGAGATCCAGAGCCAGCAGGGTCCTTAAAGGACATCTAATCCAGGATTCTCATTTTATAGTTGAAGGAACTGAGGTTCACAGAGGTTATCACTTACCCAAAGTTAGACAGGAAGTAAGTGTCAGAAGCTAGATTTGAACCCACATCCTTTTCGAAACTGGAGGCAGAGCTTTTTTCCTAAGCTTTCCTCTTTTCTGTCTGAGCATGAGCCCTGTCTCTGATACTTATCAGATATCCTAGGTAAGGCACTTCATTCCTCTGACCTTTAGTTTTCTCATCTGTAAAATGGGGACATATTACTTACCTTGAAGGGGTGTTTTGTAAATGCTAAGTATCGATTTTCATTCATTCAGCCAAGCATTCCCTGAGTGTTCTGTATGTGTGGATGTGGAAGATCTGCATGTGGGACTCGGTGGGACAGCGTAAGAAGCTGGATGAGGGTGTGTTTGATTAGTAGTCAAAAGACCGGTATTCTGTTCCAAATCTGCCAGTGATTCATTGTTCGATTTGGGAAAAGTTCCTTGCCTAGAGGGTCCCTCGTTTCCCCATCTGTCAGGGGAAAAAACCCAACTCTCAAGGAATAATAGAATACTATCTTTAGAATCACAGTCTCCCAGAGCTGGGAAGGAACACAGAAGTTATTTAGTCCACCTCTCCTCTCCTATTTGATCCATGATTCCCTTCTACAACTCCTCAGGCAAATAAGCAGCCAACCAGCCTCTACTCGAACATTTCTGGTGTTGAGAAACTTACTACCTTACAAAGTTTCTTCTACTTAATGATACTATTGGTGTCCAGCTCTAAATTAATTCATCTGATATTTATTAAGTGCCTGCTATTGTAATGCAGAACATTATTTTACCATTTAGGTAGTAGGGCCCTTTAAGCCATGGAAAGCAAAAGTTGGTGCTTAATCTTGCCCCAGACCTCTTTCCTCCTAAATCTAAACAATAGTGAGATGTACTCTTGCATAGCTCAGCACAGCCCATATCTCCAACGCAAACGGATAAGAAAGCTTGCATTATAATTGCTTTAGATAATTATGTTTATACCAGAGACCAGGACACCTGGTCTGGTTTGTGTGATCCCTGACCTGTAATAATGGGGTGCTCGGGTGCTTGTGCTTATACTTGTGCCCCAAATGTCTCCCTAGTCTCAGAAACACTGTCTCTGACAACCACTCCCCAGCCCAAGGACGCTGTGCCTAGCAGTTATTCATGCATGGGCCTCAGTGTAACCCTTATCTCTCTCCCTGGTACAGCTACACAGAGCTGGGCTGCTCAGGCCCCAGCCCTCAGATCATGTCTCTGGAAGCCTCCCAATTCCTCAGTAAGTTCCTGTGTTGTGAGAAAGCTTTCCCTTGTTGCAGAGCATTCTCTCATCAAGACAGAGGGAGAGGGGTGTCTTCGACCAGCCCAAGGACTCTTCCTCCTGCCAGACTCCAAAGATCCATCCCCCTCCCTGTCCTGTATACTCCCTGTACTTTCACATCCATAGCTCCCAAAGACACCTGCATCTTTGGATTACCTCATCAGTGTTCCTCGCATTTCTTTCCCATGCTCTTTTCTATATAAACCCTAGCTCGACTTCTGATGGGGGGGCTTGATTTGGATGTGCATACCCCTTGCAGCCGTGTGCTAATAAAGTCCACATCTTAAATCACGTCTGGGTCTCACTTGCTGATTCTCGGTACAACACTATATGCAAGGCACCAGTGCAGCCAGGTGGCACATAGGGCCTGGAGTCAGGAAGACCTGAGTTCAAATCTGGCCTCAGACACTTATTATCTGTGTGACCGTAGGTGAGCCACTTAACCCTGTTTGCCTCAGTTTCCTCATCTATGAAATGAACTGGAGAAGAAAATGGCAAGCCAGTCCAGTATCTTTGTCAAGAAAATCCCAAATGGTGTTACAAAGATTCACCTAACTTAAAAGGATTAGGCAACAACAAAATAAACAAAATATGCTAAGCATGCTATTGGGGTCCAGAGTAGTTATAAAATTTAGATAAAGGAGGCAGAGTGATAGAGTAGAAAGGTCACTGGCAATAGAATCAGAGGTCCTGGGTTCAAATACCATTCTAGACACTTTTTTGTTGAATAATCCTGGGCAAGTCATTTAACCTCACTGGACCTCAGTTCACTCGTCCATAAAATGAGGGAATTGGACTACATGGCTTCTGAGGTTCCTTCCAACTCTAAACTGACGATCCCTATGACCTTGTCTTTTAAGAATTTGCATTCTAGTAGGAGATAAGAGCCAAACACAAAAAGTACATTATACAAGTACACTAAAGAATTTCAAAAGCAAGTGCTTTGTGGGACTTCAGGCAAGATCTTTATAATGGTGGAAGTGGGAGGCTGTGGGAGTAGGAAGGACTCTCTATTGCTAGAGAGTTCTTTCTTATTTAAGCTGAGAACTCCCCACTTACTCACTGCTCCTTCTGGGGTGGAGTCCATTTAGTATGATCTCTCTTCCATGTAGCAGCTCTTCAAATATTTGTAGATAGAGACCTCCCTAAGTCTACACTTCTTGAAGTTAAAATACAACCACTTCTTTCAACTGTATCTCATATGACAAACCATTAAATGTTCTCAGAAAATGAGGATTGCTCATGATATCACTCTCCCAACCCCAATGGAGACAAGAGACGTTTTGCTAATTGCTCAAAACTGGCTTTCTTGTCAGGTACTTGAGGAGACAGCCAATGAAGAAGTCTATAGTGTCAAGAACAAGGAAATACAACTGGGCCCTTATTCTCAGTATGGGTGTCTTACTGGTAGCTCAGAAAAAAAGAGAAGATGTGCTTAGCACAGAGACCGGGACTAGCAGAGGTTAGCATTTTGCTTGATTTCTCAACTCTATTAGGCCCTAAGCAATTATGGTTTTGATAGGTGGGCTGCCTGAACAGCTGGTACCCTAAAGCTCTCCAAAGAGAAAGGAGGCCAGGGAATGGCATGAAGAACAAATGTGAAATGTTCAAAACATGGAAAGATGGGAAGAAAAAAGATGTAAGTGGAGGAGAAACATCTCTTCTTTGGTAAAAAGACTGAATCATAGATTTAGAGCTGGAAGGGACCTTGAGAGGACACTGAGCCCAACTCTCTCACATTATAGAAAAGGAAATTTTTTAAAATTAATTTATTTTGAATTATCAACAATCACTTCTATAAGCTTTTTTTTTTAGGCAATTGGGGTTAAGTGACTTGCCCAGGGTCACACAGCTAGTAAGTGTCAAATGTTTGGTCTGAGGTCAAATTTGAACTCAGGTCCTCCTGACTTCAGGGCTGGTGCCCTATCCACTGAACCACCTAGCTGCCCCCATTTGTATAAACTTCAGAGTTTTAAATTTTTCCCTCTCCCTCCCCACCTTCTTCCCCAAGACAGCACGCAATCTGATATAGGCTATACATATATATTCCTATTAAACATATTTTCACATTAGTGGTGTTATAAGTAAGTATTAGAACCAACAGAAGGAAGCACCAGAAAGAGGAAACAAAATACAACAGAAGGAAAAAAAATAGCAAATAGTATGCTTCGATCTGCATTCAAACTCCATAGTTCTTTCTTTGGATGTGGATAGCATTTTCTATCATGAGGCCTTTGGAGATGTCTTAGATCCTCGTATTTCTGAGAAGGGTCAAGTCTATCAATATTAGTCATCACACAACATGGCTGTTACTGTGTACAATGTTCTGCTCACTTCACTCAGCAGCAGACCATATAAGTCTTTCCAGGTTTTTCTGAAGTCTACCTGTTTATTGTTTTTTATAGCACAATAGTATTCAATTATATTCATGTACCACAACTTGTTCAGCCATTCCCCAATTGATGGGCATCCTCTTAATTTCCAATTCTTTGACACCACAAAAAGAGCTGCTATAAATATTTTTGTAAATGTGGGTCTTTTTCCCATTTGTATGATCTCTTTGGGATATAGCCCTAGGAGTGCTGTTGCTGGGTCAAAGGGTATGCACATTTTTATAGCCCTTTGGGCATAGTTCCAAATTGCTCTCCAAAGCGGTTGGATCATTTCACAACTCCACCAACAACGCATTAGTGGGACCCTTTAAGCATTAACCCTTTCTATACAAAGTAGAGCTTCAAGGACAGAAAAAAATTAAGCAAAACAAAACATGTTCCCCCACCCCCAACGAAAGGAAAACCTTAATCCTTCTAACCAAGTTGGGATCAGGGACCTAAGGATGCTCAAGGGAATTACTCTTAGAGTACTACAAACTGAGCTATGGAAGATATGTGTGTGTGTTTGTCCACATGCTTTGTCCCTGGCAGTGCAGTTCCTAACTAGATTTTCTCTGGTCCTCTTCTAGCTCTGATGACCTGACTCCTCAGAAATACCATGCCTAGAAATTAAGTGAGTACAATTACTCTCAGTACGCTCTTTTCACAGTAACTCAAACACAGATGTCCTAAAGAACTAATTTCCAACAACCCTTCCACCCCCAGACCTTCAGCTTCTAACTCAGGAGACATTCCAGAGAAAGATCACAGCTTTCCTCAAAAGGTAAATCAGGATTGACCCCAAAGGCCAGTATCAGGCAGCCTGCTTTGTTTGCATAGGCTCACCCCAGGCTCCAACTGTGTCCATATCTCTCTAAACTGACCTGCCAGTTATGGAGAGCCCCACCCCAAGGGATCTCAATGTGAGGAACAGGACTCAGGCTGGTTAGGAGGCGTCTTCTGTCTTCTAGGATTTGTCCTAGAGTTGCACCACTTGGAGAAGAGATTCGATTTCCCCCACAATTCAAATGGACAGTTTTGTGAGTGGCTGTGTCTCTTGTGAAGGAGAAATCAGCAAGTTGAGAATAAGAACTATATTGAGGCCTTGGAGCACCACTGAGTGTCCCAGGCAAAGTCTACGTGCAGAAAACGATTGATTCCAGGGGAGAGGAGCTGATAGTTTTCTTAAAGCTGCCCAATCTCAATGCTCAGGAGGGAGCTGCTTTCATTTTATGAAAGACCATGGCTTCAGAGCCTTGCAAATCTCACCCTCCTTCAAAGTCTAGCAGCTGACATTCACATAGTGAGGGATTCTTTAAATTCTGTTTTTATTAATAGTTTCTCATGTTGGATAAAGTCAGCTGTGAGGCTCAGAGAATGGAGATTGTGCTTTGTCAGATCACGTTCCCAGATGCGCACAAGAATATATTTAAAGCTTTAGTTATTGTATTCACACTCACCCCACACTCACCACAATCTGGATTTGGTCTTGGTCCAACCCATGATTTCCTTGGTGTAGAAAGCTTATCAGTGAGGAAACTTCCATTGATATAGTATGGACCTGGACCTGGAGTTGGGAAGAACTGAGTTCCAATCTTGTTTCAAATACTTAATAGTTGTATGATCCTAGGCAAGTTATTTAACCTTTCTTAGCAGCAATTTCTTCATTCATAAAATGGAGAGGATAATAGTATCTACCTCCCAGGGTTATTATGAGAATCAAATAAGATTTTCTACAAAAACACATTTATATTGCATCTATTGTGTACCAGGCGCTGTACTGAGCACTTTTTCACAAATATTTTCTTGTTGATTCTCACAACAACCCTTTGAGGTAGGTGCTTTTGTTATCCCCATTTCACAGTTAAGGAAACTGAAGAAGACAGAAGTTAAGTCACTTGTCCAGGGTCACACAGCTAGTACACGTCTGAAGCTGGATTTCAACTTGGGTCTTCTTGACTCAGAGCCCAGTGCTCTATCCACTGTACCACTGACTGTGTATACACACACGCACACACACACACACACACACACACACACACACACTATATATATATATATATATATCTGTGCATATACACGTGTGTATATGTACGTATATTTCTATAAATATGCTACACATAATGTTTACATATAAATAAAGTGCTTTGCCAACTACAACTTTTAGGCATAGAAAGTTGCCTGGGTCAACTCCCATGATCACAGGATTATTAGAATGCTGGATCTGGAAGGGACCTTAGAGATTATGTAGCCCAACCCCCTTATTTTACAGTATAGGAAACTGAGGCCCAAGATTTGTTCAAGGTCACATAAGTAGCAAATAATGTTTGCACCTACTTCTAGCTACCTCTCTTTGGAGCCGGAGTGTATAACCTCCTCAAAGGTTTTTTAATTTTAAAATAATCTATCTTGAATGAGACGGGATTTTTTTGCTTCTGGGTTTTAAAAGATAAGTGTTTGAATCAAGGAGACAAAGGCACTTTTTTGTTTGTTTTTCCTCAGTCTCTTCAGCAGAGAATTTGGTGCAGTCCAAATTGCTCACTGGCTTTTCTTCATTGAATGCCAATGCTCGTAGGCCGCCTGGACTCTGGCTGAGCGCTAGTGACAAGCTTGTGGCAAGCTGCGATGAGTGCCCGTCTCCTCTTATCATTTACCTTCAGCTTGCTTGTTCAAGAGGCCACAGGGGGATAAATAACATTCCATAAAGTCAGGTCGTGGGTACCAAGTCTTTCCTAAAGCGTGTCAGTGAGAAGCAGCTTCCTCCAATTTCAGACATACAGGGATTTAAAAACTGATCTGTGATCAAAGTGCTTTTCTGTTTCTGTAAGAGGGAACCATGCTTACTGTGCACACCTCCCTCCTGCATGCACGCGCGTGCATAATCAGGGGTTGATTCTGTAGGCTCATCAAGGACAGTGTGGCACTGATCACTCCTAAATCATTTCTATTCAACTATGGAATGAATGATATGGGCCTGATTTCTTAGAAACGAATTTCTACTAATACCCTAATTATGTTTTGCTTAGGCATGAACAGATGAGTTTACATGTCTGAACATATGCCAATGGGTGAAGGAGAAGGGATCCAGAAGTATTCTGGATGCTGTTTTTGCCAGAGCCAGTCTGGGGCCAAAGGTTTGAAGCAAATGATCCACAAAGTGGATCATATGTTTAAACTCAAATTGTATTTTATTTTCAGGTTTGCATCTTCTCCCTTCCACTTTCAACTCCTCTCCCCCACTGAGATAACAAGAAACAAACCTATTTCAAACTTGTAGTCAAGCTAAAGAAATTCTCATTTTCTTGCCCCCCATATGTGGGTCACACACACACACACACACACACACACACACACACACACACACACGTATGTCTCAGTCTGCACTCTGAGAATATTACCTCTCTATATGAAGGTGGTTAATATGCTTAAGATTCAACTGTATGTATATATATATATATACATATATACAGTTATAGTTATATATATAGTTATATATAAACTACATGTTTATATGTCTATAACTATATATCAATATAGTATATTATATATTTCCCATATAATAACTATATATGTACTACATATTAATATATTACATGTATGCTATGTAGTAACTATATACCATTATATACATACTATATATTAATATGTGGTATATACCATTTAATAGCTACATATTATTATATACATACTATATATTTATATGTGATCTACACATATCATTTAATAACTATACATTATTATATACAAACTATATATTAATATGTGATCTATACATGCTATGTAATAACTATATATTATCATATATACATTACATGTAGCAACTATTTATAGTTACTCCTATATCTATAGCTATATAGTAACACAATATATATTATATATACCTAATCTTAAGCACTATATATACACATAGTTAAGTTAAATCTTATTACCCACCTCCAGATAGAGAGGTGATAGATTCAGAGTACAGACTGAAGCATACACATGTGTGTGTGTGTGTGTGTGTGTGTGTGTGTGTGTGTGTGTGTGTGGAGAGCTGACCCAAAGTAACATTAGATTAAGTGTTCTCAAACCTCTTCAATGACCTCTGTGCCTTTCCTGGTACTTGTGCTTCTCAGGGGCCCTCATACTCCCCTATATGAAGGCTGCTGGGGGCAGCTGGGTGGCACAGTGGATAGAGCACCAGCCCTGAAGTCAGGAGGAGTTCAAATGTGGCCTCTTGACAGTAGTTGTGTGACCCTGGGCAAGTCACTTAACCACAATTGCCTAAAAAAATAAACAAAAATTTTTAAATTTATATACACGCACACACACACACACACACACACACACACACACACATAGGCTGCTGGCTAAAAAGAAGGGAATCAATCACAAAAAAAAAGCCAAAGGCAAGTAACTAAATGAATATTATGCCTTTGTCCTGTAAAGAGCCTAGGCTTTCAATTAGATCACTTCCTTGGAAGTATCATGGCATAAAAGATAAAGTACTAAACTAGGGTTTAAAACTAGAGAACCTTGGAGATCATCTATTTCAGCCTAGCCTTAATCACCAAATGGGTGTTGCCTCAGTCAAACTCAGGCCTGGGACAGACCTTAACTTAAAAAGGCCAAAGTCTCCCACTGCATCCAGGGCCATCTCCAGTCACCCTGATCTATATCTTACCACTGGACCCAGACGGCTGCAGAGGATAAAGTGAGGCTGGTGACTTTGCATGGCCCTCTGTCACTTAAAACAAATTCCCTTATAAATCGTAGCATCACCTTCCTGATATCATGGTCCTCTTCAAGAATGAAGGACAAACAACAACAACAACAACAATAACATAGAGGAGGAAAAAGAGGGCATGTGTTCTGCTGGATAAGAGCAAGAGTTGGGACCCAAATCTTCTGATTCAAAATCCAGCATGCTTGCCAGTATACCAGGTTGTTTCTCAACGAGCTGGGTTAACTTAAGGTGGTAGAGTTGTGGGCTAAAGGTACCAACAAATAGACCTAGGTTCTAGTCTTGGCTTTTCTTCTGTCTCTCTTTCTCTCTGTCTTCTTCTTTTCTTTCTTTCCTTTCTTTCTTTTCTTTCTTCCTTCTCCTCTCCTTCCTTCTTTTTTCTTTCATTTTTTCTTCCTTCCTCCCTCCCTTCCTACCTTCCTTTCTATTTCTCTCTATATCTGTCTCTAGCTCTCTGTCTTCTACCTCTTTTTTGCTTTCTTTGTCTTTTTCTGTCTCTTTTCCTGACTCTGTACCTCTCTTTCTGTCTGTCTCTTTCCTTGGGTAAATCCATTCTTTTCTCTAGGCCTCAGTTCTATCCTCTGCAAAATGAGGGGATTGCATTTGATTATATCTAATGTGCTTTCAGCTCTGGCATTCTATGATTCTACATGACTGGTCCAGCTAAGCTAATAGCCTTCTCAGCAACACCCTCACTAGAATATCCTCCATAGCCAGGACAGTTCTGAGATGCTGGCAAAGAGTTGGTGAGGCTTTGTTTCCTTCTCTTTTAATATTACCGTAATTCCCTTACTTGATGACATTTAACTAGGCGGGCTCCCATCTGCCTTTTTATATTGGTCAGATAATCTCTGCCTATAGAAACAGTCTTGGCATTTGGGTTGAGCTGATTTACCGACATGCAAACATAT